AGTTTGGAACCGTTTATGACACATGCACCATTTGGTCAGTCAAACTACGTAGTACTGTCAGGTCTGACTGTAACCTAAAGGTTGATCATGTAAGCACAGCCTCATCCTTAGCTAGGCATACTTCCTGTCTATGTAATTTTTGTTCTTGTCTCGAAAAATCTTACTACAGAGGAACCTCGACTTACATGTGCACCAAAATACGTGTTTTTTGAGATATGAGCCGTCGCTCAGTCGATTTTTTGCTCTGTGTTACAAGGCAAAAATCCAAGTTACAGGCAGCTTCCCCCTCAACCCTCACACCTCACTTGTATTTATCCATGATATCATGCTTTAATTCCATGGACATCGTTCTCTTTGTCTTCTCAGCACTGTCCTTTGCACTTTCTTTCTTAGGACACATGGTTAGAAAAAAGAGATTTGGCAAAATGACTACAAAAAATGCAATCAAAACACAAGAGGTAAACAATGCACTCCACCAGTTGGCAGCATTCTGAAGCTCCTCGTTATTATTTTTATTAATTATTATTATTATTATTATTATTTAGGGAACTGAAGCTTGCTCATAATTATTATTATTATTAATATTAATTTAGGGAACTGGAGCACCGATCCAATTCCCTAGATCAAGAGCCCCTCACCAGCATCAAGGTTCCTTGATGCTGGTGAGGGGCTCTTCATCTAGGGAATTGGATCAGTGCTCCAGTTCCCTAAACTAATATTAATAATAATAATAATATTTACGAATAAACTTCAGTTCCCTAAATTAATAATAATAATAATTATTATTATAATAATAAATGACAGGGATGGATAATGAGAACCTTCAAAACTAGGGATGCCAAGCCCATGATGACACTCTTCAGGTCGCTTGTTCTATCAAGGCTGGAATATTGCTGCACATTAACAGCACCTTTAAAGGCAGGTGAAATTGCTGACCTAGAAAATGTACAGAGAACCTTCATGGCAAGCATAACTGAGATAAAACACCTCAATTACTGGGAGCGCTTGAAGTTCCTGAACCTGTACTCCCTGGAATGCAGGCGGGAGAGATTTATTTATTTATTTATGATTTATTTATGATTATATACACCTGGAAAATCCTAGAGGGACTAGTACCAAACTTGCACATGAAAATCACCCCCTACGAAAGCAAAAGACTTGGCAGACAATGCAACATCCCCCCCAATGAAAAGCAGGGGTGTGACTAGCACATTAAGAGACAACATATTACAACCCAGGAGTCCAAATGGCTTGTTATCCTGGGTGTAAAGGGAGCAAAATAAACCCAGCAGAAAACTTTTGACTTATATTATCCTTCACCAATTTAGAACAGAAGTATGTACACTATATACACTATGTACAGTGATAGGTATTAGTGCACTCCACGGTAAGCAAGGCAGAATAGAAGCCACTAGAGAGCAGACTGTGCTTCAACCAGCTCTAGAATGGGAATGACAAGGGCAGACAGGAGAGTGGTACCCACTTAACCTCTGCGATTGCCAAAACCATCTTCTCATTGGCTGGAACCTGGGTACTGGTTGAACGACGGGGCCCCATCGTCAACCCTCAGTCACCTGGTTCGCTGGTTGGGAGAGATAGCCTGTAAATGAGGGTGTGTACATGCGCCGAATAAAGGTTACGTACTCTTTGCATGCCACACAACACAATAAGTGTCAGGGGCCCAAGACTGTTCAACTGCCTCCCAGCATACATAAGGGGAATTACCAATAGACACCTGGCCGTCTTCAAGCTGGCACTGGACAAGCACCTAAAGTCAGCACCTGACCAACCAGGCTGTGGTTCGTACACTGGATTGCATGCAGCCAGCAGTAACAGCCTGGTTGATCAGGCCCTGATCCACCATGAGGCCTGCTCACAGACTGGGTCACAGGGGCATTGACCCTCGGAACTCTCTCCAGGTAAACTCCAGGTATAATAATAATAATAATAATAATATAATAATAATAATAATAATAATAATAATAATAATATTAATAATAATGAGGAGCTTCAGAATGCTGCCAACTGGTGCAGTGCACTGTTTACCTCACTGTGGAAGCATTTCTCTCGTGTTTTGCTTGCATTTTGTGTAGTTATTTTGCCAAATTTCTTTTTTTCTAACCATGGGTCCTAAGAAAACAAGTGCTAAGGACAGTGCTGAGAAGAAAAAGAGGATGATGTCCATGGAATTAAAGCATGATATCACAGATAAACACAAGCAAGGTATGAGGTGTGCGAGTTGTTTGTGAGGCAGTAAGAGCGTAGTACATATACTTCTACTACACTGGTACTGCCTCACAATAAGCATTAAAAGTGTAGCAATTAAGTTCAGTGATAAAGTGTAGCAAGTAGCCTATCTTCCACCCTCCACGTACGTACACTTTATAAAACCAGCTTATTTCTTTACATTCTCTATTATGTTTTATTTTTATGTAATATTTCTTATTTATAAATATACTGTTTCAGTGTTTTCCTTATGAAACTAGTGATCTAGTGCAGTCAGCCTCACAAACACTCCATTTTCAGAAGGGAAAGAATGGGAAGATATGGTCAGTGAGACAGCGTCACTGGCAGTCACCACTCATCACATAATGACATACGTATTTATGTGTTATTTTATTCATTCTAGGGTATGTATCATGTTTCTATTTTATTTATATTGTTTATTATGTCATATAAGATCAATTATGATAGATAAATAAGCCATAGAGTTGATATTAGCGTTATACTGAAGCATTTTGTCGTGCCTCCCGAGAGCAGGAATTCCTCTGGAACGGATCAATAGCATTTCATTTAATTTAAATGAGGAAAACTGATTAGATATATGAGAAAATTA